CCCAAACTTGAGATTTAACATATGAGAAAAGCAAACTCATTAGGAAACAAAACTTTTAAAAATTATGAACTAATATCTAAAGATAAGAGATAGAGAGATAGAAAGCTTGGATTGCCTCCTAAGAAATGTTTCTTTAATGTTATTAGCTTGATACATTGGATCTTCAAGAGAAACTTTCTTCATGTTTCCCAACTTTTTCCTTGGCTTTGGATTTTTCTTATATAAAACATGGCCACGAGGATTAGGAGGCTGCTTCAACTCTAGTATAACTCTCAAAACTACTTTTGATATAACAATGTTCGGAGGTTTCAAAGGCTTTTCTATGTAGTTCTTCTATTCCTCTTGTAGGTGAGCTTCATGAGGTAAGAGAAAGTTAACTATTTTCTTGTTCCCTGTGTAGCTTCCAGGAGCAAATGCATCGCTTCTTGAATAACTAATTGCAGCATATTACTTTCTCTAGAGGGTCATAGAACCATTCCTTTCTATATTTTGCTCCCACCACTGCATCAATTGATTGGACCATGTGGCAAGTGTCAACTTTTTCTGGAGATTTCTTCGCTTGATAGATGTTGAACATGACTTACTTTTCATTAACCCGTAGTGTCAATTTTCCTCCATGGACATCAATCACAACTCTCTCGGTTGCCAAGAAAGACCAACCACGAATTAATAGTAATTCTCGATCTTCTTCTATATCCAAAACTACAAAGTCCACCAAGAAAATGAAATTGTTTACCTTCACCAATACATCTTTAGTGATACCTCTAGAGTATGTGATGGATCTATCAGTTAGTTGCAAAGTGATAGAGGTTGGTTTCACTTTTCTAAGACCCAACTTTTTAAATATAGATAGGGACATCAAATTGATGCTAACTCCAGCGTCAATCAATGCCTTGTCAAAACTAAAAGTGCCAATTGTGTAAGGAATAATGCAGCTACCCAGATCTTTTAATTTATGATGGAGCTTCTTCTGGAGAATGACACTACATTCTTAGGTTAATTTCACTATTTCAAACTCCTCCAGTTTCTTTTTCTTTGACATCACTATGTTCAAGAATTTGGCATAATTTGGTATTTGTGCCAAGGTATTTGCAAAATGAATGTTGATGTGAATTTTCCTGAATACTTTCAAAAATTTTGCAAATTGTTCATCAAGCTTCTTCTTCAAGAATCTCCAT